CTAATAAAAGGTTTGTGGTACGTTTTCTGTCACCTCATATCTATTTTGGAACATATAAGTAATATATTACTTTGCAGATAAAAGGTGCTTATAAGCTTACTGGAAAAAACAGGGGAATATTTTGCAGCCTTTTCAAAAGATGAGGAATAGTCCCGACAGCCCACCATGCACGGGCGGAAGGAACAACGGCAAAAGATGAGGGACAGACAGCTCCCATCCACCAACCCACGTCGTACGGAACATCAATTGCACAAAAATAGAAGTGCATCTCCCATGGGCTCTTGCCTTAACCATCATGGCTATAATTTGAATGGAAGACCAGAGTTATAATTCACTAATATTATTAATCCGAGTGCATCAAAATAACACTTGTTAAGAGTTTCAAACCGTTTACAACTTATTTTCTGTGTCCAAACATTATTGCCAAATTTTTCACGGCGCCGCGAACCGACGAACAGATTGTCTTGCCCAGGGAGAGCAAAGGTTCAGAACGACAGATCCTATGATGTTTATTACGAATACAACCCACACAGGCATCTAGAGTTACAAGCTCGGGTACAAGAGGGGTGTACACATACTTTACACGAATCTGTAAGCTAGAAGAAGGAAAAGAAACCAACACTAAAACTGACGCTGGCAGCTACAAAGAAAACAAGAGAGCTAAATTTTACAAGTTCCTTTCTATCTCGGTCCCCAGGGGGCGCCACCTAGGTTCCCAGCTTGGGCGCTGCTACCATTAGGCATTATCACACCACCATACTGGGGCGCTGGAACAGCAGAGCCGGCGGCGGCCGACCCACCCTGCTGCGCCGTCGCCGGCCACCAGGCACTAGGCTGCTGCTGCTGCCATGGTTGCGAAGGCTGAAGCTGCTGCTGGACCAAAGGGAGCTGCTGCTGGCTACTAAGGCTGTACTGCATTGCAACCTGGGGAAGGAGAGGCTGCATTGCATTTGGGTTGTACTGCTGGTACGCATGGTGGATCTGCTGCATGGGCGGTAGTGGTGGTGGTGGTGGGAGTGGTTGCTGCGGGGTGGGTGTAAATGACAGCGGCTGCCTACTTTGCTGGATGGGGTTCCACTCTGGTATATCATCGTCGTCGTCGTCAGCCCAAGGACGCGATTCAACAGATGATCTTTTACCATACTTCTGAACCAATTCCCTCATTTGCTCGACTGGGCGAGCAGAGGTCGGTGCTACATGCCGTTGGCCCTTGAAGGCATGCGTCGTTACATTAGCAGCGGGGTTAACAAAATTAAATTCAGGAAGATCGTCTTCGTCCCTGCGCGCAACAACGCCAGGCCCAAAGCCCGGGGGCACATCGTCATCAGTTACATCCTCCTCTTGGTGCTGGTGATGCTGCTGGTTGGGAAAACCTGGTGGCACGCCGTGAGAGTTCTGGGGCGCAGAGGGCCTATGGGCCGAAGTAGAACCGGTAACCTGGGGTTTCCTTGGGGCTGACTGCCTCTTGGAACCATCATGCCTCTGATGGGAGGACACCCTAGGAACGCTGGGTCTCCGCCAGACGACGATTCCAATTATCGATGTTTCTGCCACAGCGAGACCACCCAAGTGCTCCTTTGGCAGGTGCTGGGAGAGAATCTCCACAGTTTTCCCTTGAGGGGGACACAGGTACAGCTCCAGTCCATCTGCAGGCTCAGCTAGTCCCACTCTCTCATCTGCAATATATGAATCAATTGTCTGCAAAAGAACGAGCCAATTTAGTGAAAACAATCATCAAAACTCTGGTAAGCTCATGATGGGTGATCTGACTTAGAAAAGGAACCTGCGAGAGTTGTTGGCGGCCACTCTCCGACGAACACTCCTTCCAGCACAGCTCAGTTACCTATAAAAGTAGCAGTACAGGTACTTAAAACAGATGGAACGGATTCTCGATGGCGGAACAGAGAATTAAATGCAGCACAGGACACATAATTTAACTATGTGCACGTAGACATAAGCAGTACAAGTGGGAATACAATCCTAGAAGGAATACAACACTATTATTTGCAGTTCTTGCGCTATCTAGTGAAATAATTCAATTGGGCAGTACCAATCTAATTGCATAATGGTAACAATTACAAGTACATATACTGTTCTGATTCAAAATATATGCACCAGCTAGCTTGAGAAGTACGCACATTATCAAGTAAGTACAGATATAGATTTCTTAAGCACCTGCTAGGAAAATTTTCTGGCGACTAGCATAAAAGTACCAACACACCTGCACATGTCCCTGCCTCTAAACAACAGTGGATCTAGATATTATGAAAATCTCAAAAAACATGACAGATGCCATTGTACTAGTATTGCTTTTTGAAATATTGCCAGTTTAGGACCCACCCATTCAAGGTAGAAACTTTAGAGGAATTCTATAAAAATCTGGAGGCTATTTTCCTCCAAAATTCTGAGCTCTGGACACAAGAGGGATCGAAACATCTATTTTCATCACTGATTTCATTTTTCTTTTACCAGATGGACATATGCCATTGACCTCTAATGAGCGTGTGATTATAACATGGAGAGTTATCTACCATCCACAACATAATGGAAAGTAGCCAGCATAAATGTGTAAAACCATAATCATTCCAGTAAGAACATCATCTAGAAACAAATTATGCATTCAAAACAGAATTACCATTATAGCGCGGCTCCTAGATTTGGGAAGTTGTTCGAGAAAATCTTGAAAAGCACTAAGTTTAACTCTCCCCTTGATTTCAATTAAGCTACTCCATTCTTTCCCAGATGGCTTTTCACCACTGTACAAGAGAAATTTTAAGATATGTCAGAACCAATACAAATATGAAGTACAGAATAAGGTCACACGTAGCCAAAAAGCAGTCCATATTCATTAGTTTAGGAGCTAACGCTCACATTTATCCTCTCATTCATGCAGATCATGCGCAATAATTTAACTTCCACATATGAGACGGTGAGAGACTAAGCAACTGGTGCCCCCCTTAATTGTACTAGCAAGTAGCATGTGCTTCGCACGTTAAACATTTTCTTTCACAATTGTTTGCCACTTAGCATAACTACGTAAATTAGAAACATGCAATCAAAAAATTACCCGAGTATAATAATTTGACATAGCATATTTGCATGTAGTGTTTTCATTTGTTCTTTTTCACCAGCCTTATTTTTTTTCTTACTCCTTTGAGAACTCCGAACATCTTTTAATCAGGAATCGCAGCATTCTTGGTACACAGGAATTCGTTGGTACAGGCCCAAATTAACTGCACATAAGCATAACTATTTGCAAGATGAATATAAGCCCAATGCCCAATAATACATTCTCACTTACAAAAGAAGCATTTCATTCTTCAGTTAAAATCTCTAATGCCGTATGGTTGGGGGGAAAGGGCAACAGCAAGTGAACATTCGAGAGAATGATTCAGAAGCCAGCTGAAGACCACTACGGTCCGATAAAACAAAGACAAAGAGTGACTAGATTTACTCCAGTTTTGAGTGTTTCATTTCTAACATCAACGGCTTGTGGCGGAAAAAAGTGTAGATGGTGAGGTAAATCCTTTTTTGGAAACTCATGAACTACATAGTGGTATAGAAGCTGTCCCATTTCAGTAACATATAGTATTACCTAATTGAGTGGGTTTCCACCCGTGCCATTAGAAAACTGAAGGCACATAGCATAACACAGTGGCATCAAACAAGTTCAAGAATGCAACATACAGAATGATAACTAAAGGAAAATTAAAAGGCGTTTTAAGATGATGAAAATGAAGAGGGAATGTGATTAGATAAACAGGACAAGCTAAGTTGGTAACAACCAAACAATTCTCCATCGAAACAAACCTTTTGAAAATGGCAACAACATTCGTGAGTGACGATAGAGTAAGCTGAATCGCACCCTCCCATATACTCTCACGAATCATAGGAACAGCAGTTGTCTTATGGTTCACAGTTGAAACAGGATTCGACATATTAGCACTAGCAGCAGCAGGTTCTTTAGATTCGACTTTCTCTGGGGAGGATTTGATTTTCTCTCCATCGCGTGGCACATCAGGAACCAACTCTGAACCAACCTTCTGTTTGGGTGATTCTGACTTGGACTCCGATTTACCCTGTAAAGCCGGCACATCTGATTCAGATCTGGCCTTCTTTTGTGCAGACTGCTTATCTTCTGTCTCAGGAAGTTTCTCGGAATCTAAGGTGGAGCTAGGTTCATCAGAATCACTGAGATCTTTTTGCGGGGTCCCAACTGATAAATTTTCAAAAGGTGGTTCAGAATCTAACCCCAGCATGAATTCATCTAGCGAAGGAATTGGTGGAAGATTCTCTGCGTCTTTCAAGTCATCCACCATAAGTTCATCAATAAGATCTGCTTTCTCATTTTCAATATATTCAACATTGCCTGATGAATCATTGTCACCTGTCCCACCATCCTCATCTTGTGACATGCCATCAGAACCCTTGTCCTTAACTTCTACACCAGTTTTATCATCCGTACTTGTTTCATCATTGGTTTTTGTTTCACTTTCAACAGCTTTTGATGGAACATGAGATAGAACATTACCCCCAAGCTCAACCTCCACTGAAATACCATCAGTTTCTTCTATTTCAACTTGGAACTCTCCTTTGTGTGTTTTCCTCACTAAACGCCTGACATCAACTTCAGTGTTAGGAAGGACAACCATTTTTTCATGTTCTTCGGCTTTAGCCAACCGCCACTCTGAGAGCTCTTTGGAAGCAAGTTCCTCCGCAGTCATTGAACAAAGGCGATCGGGTGCAAGTTCTCCAGATATGACCCTCGACCTTAACTCAGGGTTGCCTTTATCTTTTAGATTAAACAGAAGAGATCTGCCTCGCTCCTTGTACTTCTTGTTCACTCCACCAAACAGTTTAAAGAGTTCTTCTTCAATTCTAAATGCCAAGCTTTCAGCCTTCTGGATCATACTACCCTTATCTGTTGCTGCCTCATCTGTAGACTTTATTCTTTTTGATTCAGACTCTGTCAAATTGCCTGTAACCCCAGGCTCAATATCAGAAGCCCTGTCCCTCTTCAAATTAGGTTGTGTCACAGGTTCAGCCATCCCAGCAGGAAAATCAGAAACCCAACAAAGGCCATGACCTTGCAAGAGTTCATCTGTGACAACCATACTTTGGTCTAATACTTCATCTTCTGAAGGAAGGTGCTTTAGTTGTTGTTGTGTGTCACTGTCATCATTTGTGCTTGTGATCATGTCTGATGCTATGCCACAGCCTAACTTCTCATCTCCCTCGCATTTCTTAGCAACATCAGCATTGTCTGCCTCTGAATTTGTTGTACTCGCATCCTTGGATGTGGTCATCACTGTATCCTTCACTTCATCTCCCTCCACCTTCTTCTGGTCTGCTGACCCATCAGACTGCAGGTTCTGAGCAGATTGTTTCTTATCCTGCTGGTCAGAATCCATGACGAGTGCAGCAGAAAGTGACTCCCTGAACTTTGATCTCACGGATTCAAACTGCTGAGGCTGAGCCTTTGATGGTAGCTCTTTCTGTGCAGGACGCTTGGCAGATAATGCAGATTTCATCATCTGGACCTTTGGAGAAGCAACACTTTTCTTTCCGGCAACAGATGGCGACAGCTGTGATCCAGTTACTGCTGGCAAAGATGTTTGAATATTCAGCACCTGCTGGGGCGGCCTCAGTGATACTCTGCTTACAGATTGCACCCCCAAAGGATGTGAAGTCTCTGGCCTGGAAACACCAACTTGGGCAGCTTGTTGACTCATAGGGACAATATAATATGAACTGACAGGTACCGAAGCTCCCGTAGAGAACATTGGCTGTGCACCCCAGCCAGCAGATAGGGGTGGATAGAACACAGCGGGATATCCAGACTGAGCAGGTTGGATATTTGAAGAGGGGAGTGCTTGAGATCCCATGCTAGCTGACATGGGTTTCTGGCCCTGCTTTGATAACTCCATCGTGCAGCCTCTTTTCAAAGCTCCAAGACATAAGAATGAGAATAATCAGTTGATGAAGCTTAAAAGCGTAAAAGCATGAATGATGAAATGAAACGAAACTTCTGCACTAATTCACAACTCCGGTGTGGCCCATGCTGTGTTGATGCGGTCAATTGCACAAGCCCCATGCTAGCATATAGAACCAATCGAATGCACAGGACCTAAGTTCTACAGTATGTTAAACCAAATTTGTGTTGGAACATCTAAATTTGTGTTGAAACATGATGTTCCAACTGCTCTCTGTGCAGTTTGTAAAGATGAAAAACAGGACACTCGTATATCTGTCATGAGATGCACACTTGCGCATTCAATTCTAACTGCTCATCTTATAAGGAAAACTGAAGCCTCTTGTCTACAAACTAGAAGCCCATTCAAAAGCACTCCAACAGCTTTTCTACATCGAAATCACAGCATACATATGTACATAGATCCCCAAACAAAATCACATAGTACTCCACACTAGCAAGGGACACTAACGCCGTAACGCGTGCTTCAATCAACCAAACTAAACCAAACCCAATACAGCTGATGAGTTTCCACAGCTAGAACTTACTACTAAATCATGGTAGGGTTCAGCGGCAGATGTAAGAAAAAAAAAGTTTAAGTTTAGGGTCTACCGTCTATGCATACCTTGGGATTTGGGCGGGGTGGGGAGGAGGGGATCCGTCTACGACGCGGTACCACAGCTCGCCGCCGCGGTCGCTCTTCGTCCTCCCTCGACTTCGTCGCAGGCCGCGCCGCTCGATTCACGCCAGCATGCCGCCGCGACCGGCCGCAGGAGGAGGGAGGGAGGCGGGAGCGGGGCCTGCGGCGTGACCGGCCGGAGCAGGACGAGGGCCGGTGGAGGGAGGTGGGGTTGGGATCGCTGGCTTGGTGCGCCGCCGCCGCCTGCGGTTCGGAGGGGAGACGGAGAGGGGGGGGATAGGAGTGGAGGGAGGAGGGGATGGGGGGTAGATGGGTGGGTTACGGCGACTCGTGTCACGTGAGGCGCCTCTGCTCTGGCTCCGCCCGACCTCGGCTGCTGGTTGGGTCCGGCCACGTCATCTCAACCAACCAGACATTAACTCAGATTTTCAGATCGTAATGTTGCAGATCGGGCTCATTTGATTCGCAGCAAATTGATAAGATTTTTTCTATTTTACCAGAAAATGAATTCATATGATTTTTAGAGGAGCTTAGGGGATATGTTCCCCTCCGTTTTTATTCACTCTGCATGTTAGATTTGACTGAAGTCATACTACTTGATAAAGTTTGGCTGAATTTTATATAAAGCAGTATGAACATTTACAATAATATAAATCTATATGATGTGAAAGTGCATTCAATAATGAGTGTGATGGCGTTGATTTGCTATTGTATATGTTTATTTCTTTTTGTAAAACAACTGTAAATGGTTCGTGGATGTGGGATTATCAATTTCGCAATGCACTGTGTTTTGGGGGTAAATTTTTCTTCCACTCAAATATCTTGTTATAGTTTCATTTGTTTTTCTGTGACGTCAAACACTCTTGATGCAAATTTATGTAGTTTTCGAGTCAGGTAGGATTTTTTACACGGATATCATGTACTCTCTCTATAGACTAATATAAAAACCGCTTAGATCACATTCAATAGGATATGACACTTTAATCTTGCGGGTTTTTTTTCTATTCACGAGTTCCGAGGACCATGTGAATCAAAAAAGTCCTTAGGTTTTATTGCTTCACCTCGGCTGATGGTCGGTAATTTCCTTCCTTTAGCCATTTAGAGTTCGATATATAAATTAGGCTTAAATATTTTCATGAATTGTGCTTGTCAACCAGCCATGTGCACTTACAAGACATTAAGCACCTGCAGAAGTTGTTTATGTGCCTCTCTTGATCAAGTTTTCGGCACAAATATGCAAGAGCTGCACAATGATGTGGGTATGCATCAACACAACGGGTACTTTATTACTTACATTGTCCATCGGTTGGAGCGCCTTCTTTGAGCCGGGAAACATGCACCGCCATATGAATGTGAGATGATGCTAATTGTTGGAATTTATATGAGACTTTACCCACCTACTAGAGAAACAAGTATGGGCCAAAGAATTTAAATCCAAACTCCTACCATAATCGATGTGCGTAATATTGTGATAAAAGAAGATCAATTCAGAGTTTTTGAATAATACAAATCGAAACAAGTTCAAGCGTCCAGACCTTTTGTTTTGCATTTTGATCATATTTTGGTATGTCTTTGTTTCTCTTGATCCATGGAACTCCAATTTTACTTTGCATGCAAGGGTCATTAGCCGGATAAGACACGTCAAAAAGAACATGGAATATGTTGTCTTCCTAGCTTGTCATGAGCCAAAGCAAAACTACTACTATTGCTCCCTCTAGTTCTCTAAAGTGTATAGACCGCTTTAGATAATCTAAGTGGTCTCCAGAACATGCATTGCTAACTTATGTTATTATGCACTATGGAGATAGTATCATAGATCAATATCATATGCATGATGCTAGTGCATCGTACTCTTCACTACGAGCAACCTAATCATCTACTTCATCATATGTTTTGGTGCAGACACTTAATATGAGGTAATGCATGGGTCGATCTAGACCTAAGTCAACATCTCACTATGGTCAATGATGGATCAACCCCTGGAATCATATACTATGGGCCCCGTAACCGACATAAGGATACCCTTTGAGATGTCATTAGGTTCCCAGAAAAGCTCGAGCATGACAATCCAACTATCTCAAGGCTCAATGAGGTCGTATAGCTCAATATGTGTGCCATAACCATGCAATTTTTCTTAGTTGGTTGATCATCCAAACATCTCTGGCTCTATACAATGTATACCTGTTCTTACACTAGTGAGCATTGTTTTTCATGTATAAAACTCTTTCTCGAACTAGCTAGGCTAGAGCTTTCCTCGTTTTTCATGCAATTGCTCATTGGATTTGTGTTTTCTTGGCGCGACATCATTCTTATAATGAGCCCTGTTCGAGCCAAACTAGATGATTTTTTCTCTGGGGGAGACACAACTATTCACATAGTTTATTTCAATGGGGATGACAGAGTTCATGGTAAGTTTGATAAGGTGTGATCTTGTTTCTTTTGGCAGAAGAAATGAGGTAAACAGAGTATATCACATGGTTAAGTTGTTGACCATTTGCTCTCCCAATGAGGTGGGAGCTAGGTATATATGATCAACATCAAAGTTATGAACTGGTGTCTTATGGCCAGGCGGGGCTATAAGTTGCTCCAAGGTCAGGGAGGTCTTTGGATCCGTATCTTTACAAACAAGTGTGTTTCTGATGATAGATCAAAAATAGTTCATTCAACTTAAAAATCCCAATTTGCCAAGGCTATTGGCAAGATTTGGCATCTGTTGCGTCTTGGCACACGATTTTGAGGTCCATGAAGGGCGTACATGATTTCATGACTAGGTTCCCTTGGCTCTTTACAATTATAGAGGAGACCGATGCTAAAGTTGCTCATGCTTGGGTTGGGGCAGATGGTCCCCCATTTTAAGCGATCATTGGATCCATTGGAATTTGCAGGAAGGGACCGATTGGTGGGAGCCTTGGTAGGTAAGAGCATCTCCGACGGTCAGGTTACAGATAGTTGGAAACTTGAGCCTTCAGGCCATTTCTCCGTGAGCTCCTTATACATAGAGATTTCCAATAATTTTGGAGTGTGCGACACCCTGGATGTCTAGAAAGCACGTACCCCGGCTAAAATCAAGATTTCCCAATGGCAGGTTGATAAAAACCACTTCCCTAGTGGGGATCGGGTCATTAAGCGCCATGGACTTGGCAATGGCAAGTGTGTGTGGTGTAGATGGGATGAAACCTGCGACCATAATTTCTTTCAGTGTGTAGTGGCTCACTTTGTTTGGAGTGTTGTTCGTGAACCGACCATGGCATCCTGGAATTCACCAGCTTTGCCGATTCCACTCTTTGGTTGCAGGAACTCAAGGCAACGACTGCAAATTAGCTTGGGAAGCGATTACTGCTCTTTTGCTTGGTCCTTCTAGACAATTAGGAGCAAGCCGCTCATTGAGGGGATTGAATTCAACGATCTAGCTGACATCATATACAAAAATGATTTATCTTTTATAGCTATCGATGTCGTTGAGGAGACATTGGGATTACCGCAGCTTGACCGGTTTCTCACCAGCATGCACACACGGGTAGCAGCCTTGCGGAGGGCGACACGTCAAGATGACATCGGCTAGGCTAGCCTTGAGGATGAGATCCTTCTATGTGGGTTTTGCTACTTAGCCCCTTGTAATGTTCTAGAACATGTGCGCTTGTATTGGGCCCAAGTGGCCTTGTCCCGAACCTTTAACCTTACTTTCCTTGTCTATATGCGTTGCGTTGCATGTTTTGGGTCTTGCATTCGAACCTTTACCTCAAACCTAAGGCATAATTCTAAGGTCCAGTTCTTTTGCCCGATTCTCCTAGAATCGGCCCTTTCCGCGACTTCTCTCAGAATCTCCAACCCCTCCTCCTTTTCTTTCACTTCAATTTCATGATACAATGATGATGTTTACGATAGCTACGCATGGCTCTTGCTCTAACTTCCCGTAGTTCAAGCCTAGCTATGTCCGCTCCTATTAAATTCCAAATTATGGTTGCAATTTCATCGAAGCTAGGTAACTCTTTGTCAATGATTTCTTACTTAAGTAGGTATAGTCAAATGCATAAACCCTTTTCAAGAAAAGAAATTCGAGGAGTGCGGGTTGAAGGTTTGGGAGGAGGATGATTCTTGGCCCAAAAGAACTGGCCCTAAGGTCAGGCGACAAGGACGCAGTTGTTCTGATCCCGATTTCAAGTGAGCTCGGGTGAACAGTAATATTGCTTTTTGAGAAAACAATAAAAAAAATTATGACTTTTTTTGTGTGTGAAACACCGACAAAAGTTTTGATAACTTGAAATTTTTCATCACCAGATGACATTCGTGAAAAATGTGGTTAACTCGTAGACAGGAACGCCTCCTCTTACTGAATGCACATCGCCGGAAATCCAGAAATAAATGCGAGCACCAGGATTTGAACCCTGGTGATTTGCGATAACCTTCTTTCTTGAAAAGAAAAATTAAGACAAGAACACCTTTTTTTTTGGTGACCGAAGACGAGAACAACTGACACGGTGAAACTGAGCAATTACGATCGCACACAGAACATGCTTAGAATGCTTGGGCAACCCGATTTCAGGATACAATCTGAACCAGCAACACGCACTAGAGTCTTACACGATTCACAACATCAGCCATTCTCAGCCAAAGCACTGCTCCGACGGCAACGGGCCCGGGAGCGACCCCTGCTGGAAGAACTGCAGCCCGAACACGGCGGCGATGGCGACGACGGTGAGGTACGCGACGCCCTCGGCGGCGCCGAGTAGGCCGTAGGGCCCGGCCGGGAGTCCCGACCCGGTGCGCACCTTGGTGGTGAACGACCAGCCGACGATGCCCGCCACCACGAGGTAGCTGACGCCCTCCGCCGCGCCCAGCGAGCCGCCGGGGCCCGGGGGCAGGCCGCAGCCCGTCGCCTTGAGCGTGTAGAGGGACCACGCCACCGTCGCGCACGACGCGAGCCCCGCCGCTCCGGCGGCCAGCTCCACGGTGCTGTTGCCGCCGCCGCTGCTCTCGGCCATG